CCATTAAACAGTACTGCCAAAGAGGTCTAACCGGAATGCTACACCACAGCAGCTTGTACATAGGGTCAAAACATTTTATGCCGGAGACCATGCCTTCATTCAGTCAGCGGAGAATTAATTGCTTTCTGCCCGTGTTTCCACCTAATAGTGAACGGAATTTCACTCCGAGCCATGATATATGTACGTTTCACCGCGGGGACACTTTACCAACTGTGAAGTCATTATTTAACATAGCAACCAACTGAAAAAATATTTAAAGAAGGTGTGATCACCCTCAGCCATGGAAGTCTGGAGATAATAAATTAGACGATGTAAAGGGCTAAGATTTTATTTTCTTGCTGATTTGTCATGGGTTGTTCGGCTTATTTTTAGGGCTCTAAACTATGGAGGAATTGGTATGGTGGTAGGACATGAAATTACCCATGGCTTTGATGATAATGGTACGTATAGGTAATCCTGCTATTGATAGCTTCACAACCTAGAACGAACGTTAGTAAGAGTCTTGAATTTAAATAATAAACGGAAGGGCCGCTGTGTCCCAGTAAACAGGAGGCTCCTGGAGGAAATGTATGAAAAGCTGGCTCGGTCAGGGTCAGACTCGTACCCGGTCGCTATTTATGTGTTTTTGGAGTGAGAGAAGATTGGGGTAAGATGGAGGCGCGCGGGGACTCAAGAGAAGGGACGTCCTCTCCCATTAGTCCCCGCGCACCTCAACCTAACCCCAATCTTCTCTCACCCCAATAGCGACTGGGTACGAATCTGGTTATGGTAACTCGGGTAGGTGGGTGATACTTCCATCACCTTTTCTCTATACAAGCGGGCGCCACCCTCTTACTTTTTTGTGTTTTTGTCGCCGTCGTCGTTCCTTAAGCTCGCCCTAATTTCATAGCAGGTGCTCGTTGAAAATTAAGTTCATTCTCAACTGTCAGTTCGAGCAACAGAAAAGTAACTTATACCATGATTGATTGAATCCAATAGGTCGTCTGTTTAACAAAGATGGCAACTTGGTAAAATGGTGGTCTAACAAGTCTATTGAAGCTTTCAAGAAGAAAACAAAATGTTTAAAAGATCAATATTCTAGTTACGAATTTGAAGGAAAGAAGGTCAGTGTCAGCGGCGAGCGAAAACCTAAACAAGAAAGTGTCCCTTTGTTTTGTTTGTTTTTGTTTGTTTTGTTTTGTTTTTCTTGTTTGCTGTTTGTCTTTTCGGAAATGATTATTTTCCATAAGGGGTCATAGCGAAAACGCGCTAGTGTACTTTTTAATGTTTTTGTTTTTCTAATTTGTAATGCATGGCCCCTGGTCGTTCCCCTAGTGCACGTCTTGTTTACCAGTCACCTTGAACGGTTGTGTTTAGGAACCGTCGAATCAAAACTTATTAAAGGAAAGACCAGTCTTTCATTGAAAATATTTTGGTTTCAACAGTAGGAAAGGGGTTATATTTAGCCGTCAGACATCTGGTTGACCGTTGTCTTATTTCTGTATGTATGTGTTTATTATTATTATTATTATTATTATTATTATTATTATTATTATTATTATTATTATTATCGTTATCATCATCATTATTATCGTTATCATTGTCATCATTATTATCATTATCATTATCATTATTACTATTTTTTTATTTATGTATATTTTTGTGTGTGTGCAGATTAACGGTGAACAGACTCTAGGGGAAAATATTGCCGACAATGGCGGCATTAAGCAGTCATTCCAGGTACCTAAATTTCCTTTAGGATTAATTCTTAAAATAGCTCAAGATCTTTTTATACGCATCCTTAATGCGAATTTGATTCATGTCGGTCACTCCATGGCTCCGAAACGCGCACGCTAAGCAAGGAAGCCGCCATATATTTTCCGTTTTTTTCAAGCTTGTTTTTCCAATACGCTGCGGGTTTTTTTCTTTTCTTTCTTTTTTTTTCCTCAAGATGGGAAGTTTTAAAAGTTGTCCATTCTTCTACAAATGCTGCACTGAATTCAATTCTGCCGACTTGTGGCTGTCTGTCTTTCTAAGTTATTAGAGAGAGAATACTCTTTTCTTCTATAAAAATCTGTTTTAAGAAGAATATACTCAAGGCTGAGAGTTTAAAAAGGACTAAATTTTGTTCGCTGAAAAGCGTAATTACAGTACCATTATATGTTTTTAACCTGTTTTCCCAGCCTTGAGTTTTCTCTTAAAATATTGAAACCCAATACATTCTAAAGTGGAAATGGCATAAGCTATCATTTATAAGTAAGAATAATTCAAGAATATTTTCAGCCTAAAACCGAAAGAAAAATAAGAATATGCAGCCTGGGCTGGGAAGATAACATTCTTATATAAAAAAGGAGTGTAATGAGTGTAATGGAACGAATCCCACTTTACGGACACCAGCTTAATACCGACGCCATATTTGGTGGTTCCTTCAGTGTGTATGTTCGTATTAATGGGGTTCGACCTGATTTGTCCCCTGCATGAAAAAAAAGTAAGTTTTAACAGTCGAACCTTCGCAGATTTGAGATGGACATCATCACTAGCTGCCTTAGACCTAAAATAATTAAAACTGGATGTTTTTACCTTCAGGCCTATCAGAACTGGAAGAAGAGAAATGGCGACGAACCTTCTCTTCCAGGAATGAGAGACTTTAGCAACGAGAAGATCTTCTTTCTTGGTTTTGCTCAGGTTTGGCAACAATATTTTTTTACAACCATCGCAGTTCAACAAAATTCTGAAAAAAAATTTGGTCGCATCTCCCCACTCGAGTTTTGACACTACTAAAGTCATTCAAGAAGGTCCATGCAGCAATTCGATACATAGCTGGTGTTGTGCTCTAGAAGTTTGGTTAACGCCTACGGTTCATACTGTAAAATGGAGCAAAGAAGACGTTCAATACAATAATGTTTATTTCTATTTATTAGATTTTTATATACAGTCGAACCCCTGTGTGCAACCACTGCCTGGTAAGGTTAGTTGGGAGAGCATCGGTCTGCTGATCGGGAGGTCATGAGCTCAAAGCCCGGCCGTACCAACACTCACGGTCTTAATTTAAAGAACTGAGAAGAAAGTGCTGCCTTTGTAATGACTTCTGTAGTGAAATCTTTTGAGATAAGGACGAAAAACCGTTGGTCCCGTCTCACAGCTTTTTCACTTATCTAGTTCTTGTGGGACGTAAGGGAACCCAGGCCATTGTTCGAAAAGACTAGGGACGTAGACCCCATTGGTGTGGCCAACCTTTCCTGAGCCGGGTGGGTTATCTGCTGGGGGAGATCTTAATATAGGGATAACCTCATGATCCTCCTTCAGGTGTCGTAATGGCTATCTGTAAACGTGTAGGTATGTACCACCTCTCGTAAGCGACTTTCCCAGTCAAATCACTACGGTTAGAATCTCTTAAACGAACACCTCTCGTCTTATTGTTTTCATCCCCGTGTAAACGACTAGTTAGGGAATGGTTTGATTTGATCTCTATGTTCGTTGTTTGTACTACTCTTCCAAGAGAACGCGATGCACTCAGCTGACAACATGAAAATGCTCAGATCGTATTGTAACTTAGAAATTGCATGGTATGCAAAATGGGGATGATGTGTTTCAGACTGACCTGTTGTAGGAAAGGACATCCTGCATAGGGATCAATTCTCCTATATAAGCGAACACCTCCCGTAAGCCACTTCTAAATCTTCCCATTTTGGGTGGTCGTTAATGGGAGGTTTGACAGTATTTATTTATTTATTACTTGTTTACTCATTTATTTTCTTCCAGATTTGGTGTAGCAAGTATCGAAAAGCAGCAGCTATTAGGCAGATTGACTATGGGGTGCACAGTCCTGGAAAATATCGGTAAAGGCCTATCCTGTTAGATTAGGAAATCCGATCAGTCTCTGGCCCAATATTAACATTTCATAGAAAATCTAGAGCAAAAAAGGAAACATCTTCACACAAAAAAATAAGTAAATAGAAAGAAATAACTGACTATAACAAATGTAGGATTTTCAAATCCCAAAAAAGAAAATATTACGGTAAAAAAGCATTTATAGGTGCTATGTTAATTTTGTTGATATTAGCCAGTTAGTCGTCCTTCTTCGCTGTGAAACTTTTCAAAGTACTCTTGAATGACAAAATCACAGTTTCGTGTCAAACAAAATTTCTTTCCAAAATTAACCTTAAAAAAGGTTAGGCTATATATATGGCAAGGTTTCAAAAGGCACAATTGCAAATACTTTCCAAATTCAAATTTGTCCACCCTTGCTTCCTTTTGTATATGCTCTGTTATTTTACACCCTCTTCCCATGTTTTGAACAGTTATTTTTATTTTCATCTAGTTTGGTGGTGTTTCCCAGTGTTTGAATACTGATAAGTTTAGCACACAGCTTCTCCTCCTTTAAAAAGGTTTTATTTGAATTGTCACCTCACCTAATTGTTTTTCACTTAATTTCTCGAAACCATAGTTATTAAAGTGGTAACCCGTTAGGGCCTGTTTACATGGAGGTGGGGGACCCCAGGTAGGTGAGGTAACCGCTTTGGTGGGTAACCCGCCTATCCACATAATCTCTCATTTTAACTTGATCACGTTTACATGATAGGTGGGGTGACCTGCCGCATGTTACCTCACCTATCTGGGGTCCCCCACCTCCATGTAAACAGGCCCTTAGACTCCTTTGTTATATGTTTTTGCTAGCTTTTTTGGACCTGAAAATGCACAACGTCCAATAGACCTTATTCACGATACCCTCCATCTTTGTACGCGCTTAAGGACTGACGGGATAAAAGCAATGTCACGTGGTTTCTCAGGGGGCAAACAAGTGATAAATTCTGCCAATGCACAAAATCGCGGTCAAGTTTATAAATTCTAGACATCAGACAATTGCAAATAAGAACGTTTTATGTGAAAGATGATAATAGCAAATTATGGTTTGAAATTATCATTTGCTACGTTTTTAGATGAAGTAGGTATAACTTGTGGAAACTCGAACTGTACATTTTGTACGACTCCTACTTCATTCTCTCGTTTTGAGATAAGTATTGGCAATTTTGGTCACTTGTTTGCCCCCTGAAATACCACATGACATTGTTTTTATCCCATCAATCCCAAAGGACGTGCACAGATAGCGGGTCTCGTGAACAAGGTCTATAGCATTCCTATCATTTTGAACTTACTGCCCAACAGAAAAATCGCATTAATTCATAATTCAGTCTCAATTTATGAACAAAAAAGCAAAGAATTGTGCACGGTCAGGGAGCTTCCAACATAAACTACAACACCGTTTTTTTCAACTTTGATGTTTGCCGACTTTCATAACCAGTCTCCTCTACTAACCATGTTGAAACTAAACACTAAAAAAAAGGCATCCTTTTAGATTGTCTAAAGACCTGAATGATTTCTAGCTTGGTTGGTGTGACTGTGGCATTGTTTATCTTTTCTTTCAGGGTGATTGGTTCTCTGTCCAACTTTGATGAATTCGCCAAAGCTTTTAACTGTAAAAAAGGATCTCGTATGAATCCTGAAAAGAAATGTTCCGTTTGGTAATGAACCTTTGAGAGCGTCTGTTTTAGCTTTGACAAAGGATCTGACGTAAAAGGAATTGTTCAAACATAACTTATATTATAGATCAGTTCTTGCAGGATAATTTTATTCTTTGATTTTAACGTAACGACGTCAGCAAAACTGAAACTGGAATTTGGAAAGTAAATTTGATTATCTTTGTGACACAATGACATGGGAGGGTATTCTCTTTATGATGGTATGCGCAAGTCAACGATTATAACATAACATCACAGGTTATTTTTAGATCTCTCTATATACCCTTTTTAGCAGAGGGTAATTACCTGGAATACTCCGTAAAATGAAGCAAAACTTGTGGGACTTGTTTATATGATTTGCCGCCGTCTCGCTTTACTTGCAGTTGGCTATTTTTTNTCGTGAACAAGGTCTATAGCATTCCTATCATTTTGAACTTACTGCCCAACAGAAAAATCGCATTAATTCATAATTCAGTCTCAATTTATGAACAAAAAAGCAAAGAATTGTGCACGGTCAGGGAGCTTCCAACATAAACTACAACACCGTTTTTTTCAACTTTGATGTTTGCCGACTTTCATAACCAGTCTCCTCTACTAACCATGTTGAAACTAAACACTAAAAAAAAGGCATCCTTTTAGATTGTCTAAAGACCTGAATGATTTCTAGCTTGGTTGGTGTGACTGTGGCATTGTTTATCTTTTCTTTCAGGGTGATTGGTTCTCTGTCCAACTTTGATGAATTCGCCAAAGCTTTTAACTGTAAAAAAGGATCTCGTATGAATCCTGAAAAGAAATGTTCCGTTTGGTAATGAACCTTTGAGAGCGTCTGTTTTAGCTTTGACAAAGGATCTGACGTAAAAGGAATTGTTCAAACATAACTTATATTATAGATCAGTTCTTGCAGGATAATTTTATTCTTTGATTTTAACGTAACGACGTCAGCAAAACTGAAACTGGAATTTGGAAAGTAAATTTGATTATCTTTGTGACACAATGACATGGGAGGGTATTCTCTTTATGATGGTATGCGCAAGTCAACGATTATAACATAACATCACAGGTTATTTTTAGATCTCTCTATATACCCTTTTTAGCAGAGGGTAATTACCTGGAATACTCCGTAAAATGAAGCAAAACTTGTGGGACTTGTTTATATGATTTGCCGCCGTCTCGCTTTACTTGCAGTTGGCTATTTTTTTAACAACTGTTTTTTTCTTGTCAATAATGAGTTTCACTCTCAGAATATACTCGGCTTCCCAGCGTCTGCCGATCAGTATACATCGACTTGTTGCATCTAACTACACATGTGTAATTGCTCGTAGTCACGTAAAGCTACGTGCAAACTCTCAACATTGTTGGGCCAACAATGTTGGAAGCTGTTGCGTCCGTGTTTGCAGTGATTTGCAAACGGATGCAAGAAATCCCAATATTGTTGGGCCAACAATGTTGGGAGTTGTTGCGTCCGTGTTAGCAGTGGTGTGCAAACGGATGCAAGAAATCCCAATATTGTTGGGACCTTCAGTGCATGATGGGAAGGATACACCCATAAGACTTTGAAGACCATGTGTAATGCGCTTGCTTGACGCCAACAATGTTGGAAAGAGCTGGGCAAACGGATCCAACCTTGTTACGCATGCACATCGGCGATCACGGAACGTAAGAAATGTTGGGAGTTGTTGGCTAAAAAATTTGACCGGTTTCAAACTTTGCGTAACAACTCCCAACAATACGCAACAATATGCAACTTCGTGTGCAAACGGACGCAGTATCATGAACGTCTAAGAATCTTTTGAGTTGTTGGCCAACAACATGGCGTCCGTTTGTATGTTGCTTTATATAAACTAATTGAAAGAAAGCGGTACCTTGATTGCGAATGAATTCTTTTCCTCCTTTCTGGGAAATTAAGTTCACAAGATTGACCAGTCAATAGGTACAAAATGAAAAAATCAACTATAATATGAGCCATGCACTCACGATCCGAACAAAACTGACTATACACTATTACGCTATTATACAATATATTTACATGTTTTTCTACATTTCATCTGAGGATAACTATATAAGAAACGTAGTCGTTGGTTTATCATATGCACATGATCAGCAAAACAAACTTACGAAAATGAAGTAAAAGGCTAAAAAAACTTATTTGTTACTCGTGAGTGCACTCTCGAGTCACTAAGCGCTTCGATTACATGCAGCGTACAGTATAACCTGTCACCGCGCCTGCTGTCTTTATACAAATTGCCATAGTCCCATTGGCCCTGTAAATATATATCATTAGTTTGCTTTCGTTTATTATCATAATAACTAACGAATATTATAATGCTCTATTTTTTAACTTTAGCATGGTCAAATAGACAACTTAATAAACAGCACTTTTACTTTTCCTTGCGTTTCTCTTGCATTTGTCTGTTTAAGGTGACTCGACCCAGTTTTTTTTGGGGGGGTACCATCCTACTTTGAAGCTCTCTGGTATCCCCACCTTTACTTTTATCGTAAGTCTAACACATAGAATGGATAACATATAGATCAATCTACAATATAACATAAAATTTTTGGCGATCGGAGTAAATGTCACGTGGTTATAATACCACGCCCCTTTCAGGTCTGAGTCGAAAATCTGCTGTCGCCGGCATTTTTTCGTGAAAATCTCTCGGCTACACATAGTGCCCATTAGTGCCTTACGCTGAACAGAGTTTCACCAAAATCGCAAAGACCCAATTCGAGAAATTCAGCGGTTTCCAAATTTAGGTCATAATTAATGCGAAAATGATAAGCAAACTTTACGCGGATTATATCTAATAAACTAAATAAACAGGAGTCAGGAAGACGAAGAACCACTTTGTGGATGTGCTACCTCCAAATCATTATTTATTTATTTATTTATTCAGGGGTCAGTCGAACAACAAAACTCAGAAGGGTTTAGTTTTTCTCCCCATGGGGGAAAGAAAGCAGGATAGGAGTATCCTATAAGGGAAGGATATTCTCCGGGTACCAGAATTCCGGCCGTTGTTTGCGTGTGGTTCACGTACCTTAACCACCTAAGAGAGAGGTACAAATTGTTCCGTCATTTTGGGGCTCTTTAAGAAAGGCGCCTAAACCCTGCTAAAGGTACCGCAACAGTTTCAAACCGAAGGGGTGGGGCTTCATTTAAAAAGTTGAATAACTTCAAAACCGTTGAGTTATGACCGCCAAACTTTGCGAGTTGTCCTCAAATTTCATCTAGGAACATTTTAAAATAGGCCACTTCCGAGTTCCAAAAACCCTCAATTTCAAAATGAGGCCAAGTGCCAAGTGCCAAGTGCCAAGTGCACAACCTATCTTGTGAAAATGAGGGTTTTTTTGCATAAGAATAAAACAAAAATGTTTTCCATGTCAAATGCTAAGCACTCAACCTCGTTTTGATGCAGAGGCCCGGGGAACTCAGAAATGGCCTATTGTCGTGACGTGTACGTGACGTTACCATGACAACCGGTTTTGACAGCTTCTTATTTTTAGAATTTGCAGTTTTTTCTATCCGGGAGGTTTTATTTCTATTTTTAGTTCTTGAATTATTAGATTACACTTATTTTAGCATTATTTTTTGTCAATTTCAGGAGCCCATCAAATGGGCTCCTGTCAATTTATAACTTGGCTTTTCACTGACTTATTTGACGCATATGTACGCGTCAATTGCTTTGTTGTTTGTTCTCGCCCTTGCTCCGGGGGGTTTTTCTCCGAGTACTCCGGTTTTCCCCTCTCCAGCAAAAAGCAACACTTCCAAATTGCTATTCGATCTGGATTGTTCTGAAGAACTCTTAAATGTCTGAACAACCAGCACCCATATGTAGAAGCACCTCCCCTGAGGTGTAGGGGAAATGTTTGCGGGGCTGTCTTCTCATAGGAAACTTTCTTACAAAGTTCCACACAAGAAATGGTCTTGTTTAAATCCAGGAAAAAGGAATGTGTCACACAAAGTCCACCATGCTGTTTCGTAAATCATGCAGAGCCGCTGCCACGAGCGAGTGTGTTGTCCCGTCACGCAACGCCCCTTCCTATGCAAGAAACAGCGCAGCCCTGGGTTCTAGTTTCAAAAGAAACCTTTGTTTGGGAAGCGATGCGACACGCGCGACAGTCCTCGGTTTTGTTTCTGAAGAAAGGAATTTTCTGAGCAAGAAAAAAGCAATCTTCGGTGAGATCATCTTGTTTTGTGGTAATATGGTGCGATCGTACATGTTTTTGTAACAGACAGGACACAACGCGGGAAGGAAATCTTAAGCTTTAATACCGTCAGGGATAATAATATTGAATCCGATCTGCTTGATTTCACAAAGAAACAGAACAGTTTTTGAACCCATCAAGGTGGAATAATGCAGCAGTTCAGATCGACTTCTAATCAAGAAATGCGAGTGGAATTCATATCGCATTTCTCTTCCACTCACACCGAAGAGGCGTTTTGTTGCATGAAGACAATGAGATCGAAAGGCGAGTTATGCGACGTAAATCTGCTCATCGGCGAATCGCAACGACGGATTTCTGCTCATAGAATTGTGCTCGCGGCTTGCAGCCCTTATTTTCATGCTATGTTTACGACGGAGTTGATAGAAAGTAGGCAACGTGATATAACCATTCAAGGTGTTGACCCTGATGCCATAGAGCTTCTTGTGGACTTTGCATATACAGCGAGGATTCAAGTTAGCGAAGAGAACGTCCAGTCCTTGCTTCCCGCGTCAAGTTTACTACAACTGACAAGCGTCAAAGACGCGTGCTGTGAATTTCTTAAAAATCAACTTCATCCATCCAACTGTCTGGGAATCCGGGCGTTTGCTGATGCACACACATGCAGTGATTTGTTGGAGTCTTCGCATCGGTTTGCCCTGCAACATTTCTTAGAAGTCTCGCAGACCGAAGAATTTATGCTGCTTTCCGTTGAGCAAGTTTTAGAACTCATTTCAAACAGTGATGTCAATGTAGAGAGTGAAGAACAGGTCTACAACGCTGTTATTAACTGGATTAAGTTTGACTTGGACAACAGAAAGGGATTTGTGCGAGATCTTTTGCCATATGTGAGGCTACCATTGTTAACTAGAGAGTGTCTGATGACCCGTGTGGAAACTGAAGACCTTTTAAGAAACAATCCAGACTGCAAAGACTTGCTTATTGAAGCAATGAAGTACCACTTGCTTCCCGAACAGCGATCGGTTCTTCAGAGTCCCAGGACTATCTGCCGCAAGCCTGCAGGACAGGTGCCGATATTATTTGCCATAGAAAGTGCTGCCTTTGTAATGACTTCTGTAGTGAAATCTTTTGAGATAAGGACGAAAAACCGTTGGTCCCGTCTCACAGCTTTTTCACTTATCTAGTTCTTGTGGGACGTAAGGGAACCCAGGCCATTGTTTGAAAAGACTAGAGGACGTAGACCCCATTGGTGTGGCCAACCTTTCCTAGGCTGGGTGGGTTATCTGCTAGGAGAGATCTTAATATTGGGATAACCTCATGATCCTCCTTCAGGTGTCGTAATGACTATCTGTAAACGTGTATGTATGTACCACCTCTCGTAAGCGACTTTCCCAGTCAAATCACTACGGCTAGAATCTCTTAAAGGAACACCTCTCGTCTCATTGTTTTCATCCTCGTGTAAACGACTAGTTAGGGAATGGTTTGATTTGATCTCTATGTTCGTTGTTTGTACTACACTTCCAAGAGAACGCGATGCACGTAGCTGACAACATGAAACTGCTCAGATCGTATCGTAACTTAGAAATTGCATAGTATGCAAAATGGGGATGATGTGTTTCAGACTGACCTGTTGTAGGAAAGGACATCCTGC